CTAAGCAGTAACAGATCTTTTCCCCAAGTGTCTTTGATCTAGATTGGGCCCTTATGGCCATCAGGTATCAGTGCCTGCCCAACAGGAGGGAGTCTGACCCAAGGGAGGAGTGACTCAGCTTTTTGCCCATCGACCCCAGGCTCAGCTGAGCAGAGGTAGTCTCAAAGAGCGCTTAGCTGCTGGCTCTTAAGGACCATGTTCATCCCGTCGACAGACTGCTTGAACCAGGCTCAGTCCAGGTATCCCTAGCCCTGCACTCACCACCAGTGCCAGGAACGCACTTCCCTACATCCCATGGATGAGGAGTGCTCCTATCATTCCCACAGGGAGCCCAGTCCTGATTGCCGTGGCGTGGAGAGCAGGGTCTTCGGTGCACTGTCAGGCCCGGGCTGTTAGGCCAGTCCTAATGGCCAGACCCAGGAGATGGCCTAGCTCCTCAGGGGCCTGCAGTGACTGGTGACTGAGTTTTACATCGTGTGAGATTTTAAACTGGATTTTCTACTAAAGGCTATTCGCTATTCTTGGATACCATACCAGGCTCCCAAAGCTGCACCTCCAGGCGAATGAAAGCCAATAAAGACCAATAAGAACATGTCATCTGCTCCTGCGGGTGGGGCATGGGAGGGGGTTGCACTTCCTTCCGGAGCTGTGATGTGCTGCAGGTGAGGGAGGTGAACCTTGCTCCTCCTAAGCCAAAGGCAGCTCTTTTGACCCATGCCCTGCACTCTTCCCAACACCGGCTGCCAGGGCAACCTGGGAAGGGGGCTGGCTGTCAGCACTGAGCACCCCATGTCCATGGCAGAAGGCTGTCATTAGCTGCCAACGCCTCACTCCCCACCGGTTCTGGAGCCTAGGGGGTGAGGGCCATTGCTGTTTGCTCCCGCTTCTCCCCCTCCTCCTCCCTCCTCACTGAATTCAGCTATGGAGAAAAGAGGGGAGAGCAGCAGCAGCGCTCAGCCTCTGGGCTCCAGGGCTGCATGAAGGCAGGGGCTCTGGCCAGAGAGTTCAGAGCTCACCGTGCATGTGGAGCCGCAGTACGAGCTGCACTGACAGGCTGGGGATCTCAGAGCCCACACAACTAAGGGGGGTGCGACAGCACTTGCAAACCCACCTGGATTCACCCCTGCCCCCCACCCTTCAGGGACTCCTGCAGGGGCATGTGCTCCTGTGGCTTTGGGGAAGATCATGTGGCTCTTCCCAGACTCACGAGCAGATGTTGGGCTGAGCTTCAGGGGAGCAGTAAAGTTGCTTGGCTGACTGCAACATCCCCAACTGCCCTGCCATAATACAGCCACTTCTTGGGTGCGACTTCACAGTGCACTTCCACATGCCGGAAGCTTTAGGATAAGAGTGTGCTTTTCAAAACCTGGTAAAGAGAGGCCAAATGCAAGTCCCAGGGAAATTTGGCTTGTCCCACTTCCTGCACAGGTCTGCTCTTGATCTGCTGGGTGCCCTTGGCAGCAGGCCCATTCCAGGAAAAACTATTTGGAGACTTACACTCAGTCCAGCTCCCCAAGTGGGACAGGGATTATTTTTTGACTGTAGTTCTCAGCTGTGGCCAACAGAGAGCATGGTTCCTTGTGCCAGGATCAGCATGCGGCTCCATTTCTGCTTCCCACGGGTAAAGAAGCAGCTAGCTGCCTGTCACTGAAAATACTGGGCTTGCAAAAAACAGTCTTGAAAAAACTCAGGGAAGTGGTGAGAGGGATCTTCTGGGAGATAAGTCTAATGGGAAAAGGAGTCCAGGCCAGTGGGCTGTACCTCAAAGAGACATTATTAAAGGCAGAGGAGAAAGCTATCCAAATTCAAAGGAAGGATAGGAAACACAGTGAGACCAGATGGGCTAAATAGTGAATTCTTCAGTGACTTGAAACTGAGAAAGGAACCTCACAAAAAGTGGTAACTTGGCTATATTACTAGGGATGAGGATAAGATCACAGCATGGGCATGGAGGAAGGAAATCAAGAAGGCTAAGACACAAATTGAGACAGAGCTGGCAAGGGACAGTAAAAGTAACAATAAGCAGTCTGGAGTATGTGAGAAATAAAAGGAAGACCAAGGAAAGCATAGGTCCCTGACTGAATGGAAAGAAGAGCTAATAATGGATGGTACAGAGAAGGCTGAAGTGTTTGATGCCCTTTTTTCCTTCACAAAAAGGTCAACTATCAGATGAAAAAGCACAGTTAGCAGCAAAGACAGTGGGGGAAACACTCAGCCTAGGGTAAAGCAGGAGCAAGTTATGGATTGCTTTGACAAGTGGGATGCTCTTAAAGTGTTGGGAACATCTTAGAGTCCTGAAGCTAAGAATGAGATATTCTATTTCTAAGCACCTAGAAGATAAAAAGGTCATATAAGAACAGCCAACATAGGTGTGTCAGGAGCAAACCACACTGAATCAACCTGATTTCTTTCTATGACAAAGCTTTATAGATGGGGAAGAGCAGTGGATGTGATGCACCTCAATTTCCATGAGGCTTTTGACATGTCTCCTATGACATTTTCATAAGTAAGCCAAGGCGAGGATTCAAAATGACTGTGATGAACTGGGAAAATGATCTGGATAAATCAGATGAAATTCAGTAAGGACACACGCAAGGAGAAGTTGCACGCAGGGCAGAACAGTCAAATGCACAACTAGAAATTGGGAAAGAAGTGCAAGCTTGCAGAAAAGGACCTGGGGATTACAGTGGGACTGCAAGTTCAATATGAGTGTACTACTGCAGCACAAAAACCAAATGAGTGTATTAACAAAAGCATCACATGTAAATCACAGGAAGTGATTGTTACACTCTGTCAGCACCAGTGAGGTCTCACCTGGAGTCCTGTGCTCTCTTCCAGGCATCACACTTCAAGAGAGACATGGGCAAATGGGAAAGAATCCGGGGGGGGGTGTACAAGGGCTTAGTGATCTAGAAAGTGTGACGGGAGGAAAGGTTGGAAGAGCTGAAATTATTTAGTCTGGAGAAGAGAAGATAGGCTGATGACAGCCTTCAGATACAAAATGGACTGTTACTAAGAGGATGCAGATTGATTGTTTCGTGTCCACAAGAGACAGGACAAGAAGTAACGGGCTCAAATTGCAACAAGGACAATTTAGGTTGGATCCTAGGAAGATCTTTTTCACACTGCAGGTGGGTAAGCACTGGTTAAGTTAACTGTCATGGAATCTCCATCTTTGGAAATGTTTAAGTGCAGGTTAGATGAGCACTTGGCTGGGCTGGGTTAGACAGGGCTGATCCTGCCTTGAGGGGATTGGATTAGGTGTGACCTCCTGAGGTCCCTTCCACCCCAATTGTTTTATGTCAGGTGGTCTGGTGGTGGTCTGCTGAGGGTCAGACCCTCCCAGTACAGCTGAGAGGAGAGAGCAGACTCATCAGCTGACTCAAGTCACTCTGACTCTGGCTCGGTTAGCAGGGCACAGGGACATTCCCCCTCAACAAAGAGACCAGGGTGGTCTGATGGTGGGAGCTCCAATAAGTTTGCGGAAGGAGTCACAGGGCAAAAGCTTGTTTCATAGTAGGTAGGGTCGGAAGGGAGCAGAGCAGATCATCAAGTCCAACCCCCTGCCATGGTGGGAAAGAGCACTGGGGTCAAACGACCCCAGCAAGGTGTTCATCCAGCCTCCTTTTAAAGACCCTCAGGGTAGGAGCCAGCACCACTTCGCTTGGAAGTTGGTTTCAGATCCTCGCCGCCCTGACAGTGAAGTAGTGCCTCCTGATGTTTAGTCTGAATCTCCCCTCTGCCAGCTTGTGACCCTTATTTCTTGTCCCTCCTGGTAGTGCTCGGGGGAACAGGGACTCCCCCAATGCCTGCTG